CCCACCAGCAGACTGATGTCTTCCATCATCTTTCTGGGCTCAGGACTTGCGTGATTTGCGCACCTCAGAAGAACTTCCCCTCAAGCCACGAGTTGCTAATGCGTCATCTAGCCGAGCTGTATCAATATCCTGGCATATCCTGGCATATCCTGGCATATCCTGCGGTCACGCATCGTATTGCTCTAGTCATAATTTCGATGAGCTCTCCTGACTCGCTTATTTGTTGTGTGTGCTCCTCTTAAATATTCATGCGAATCTGCGCGTTGTCAGCTTCGTTTTCTTTTAATGACATTTCAATAATTAATGTATTTTTCATCCCATTTTTTCCATTTCCGTTTTCCTGCCCGATTTCGGTTGCCATTGTCGCTGAAGTGTGCGTGTCCTTTATGTGTTTCTTTTTCTCTTTTCTCTTTTTGGCTGACTTTTTGACTAGCCTGTCGCACTGTGCCATGTCATCAATCAAAGAGCATTTTTAAATGTTTCGCTTAGGAACTGCTTGTCGCGGCTTATAAATGATGCTGTTATACGATTTTTTTGAGGGTTTTTTGATTACTTTTGGGCGTTTTCGAGCTAGTTTCTTAAATGGCAAATATTCATTAATTTTAATAAGTCAAAATAAGTCAAGAATGCTAATGTTGTAATTGCGTGAAAGTGGGAGTGGTTTGAAAATTTTAAGTGGCTTAGTATGTTGAAGTATGTTTAATAGATATATTATCAGACATAACATAAATAATATATATCATCGGTTGTCAACTGAATATCCTTGTTGGGATCCAGAATCCACAAATATGAAAGGATTTTACTAAGCGATAATAATAATATAAATTATTTAATTGAAGAGCATTGGACTCTTTTCAGCTTACTGTATAAATAAGGCTCGATATACTGCTAAGTCCTATGGTCAGCTCTCTTCAAATCACACAATACCATTCCAGATCCTCTTCAGCTGTGAGAGATTTTATCTGAAGTCAAACTCAACTTCTAATCGCATTTGCTTCTCAAATCATCTTAGTTAGTTCTCTTCTGTGGCACAACTGTCATAATACCCACAACAAGTGGACGGGGAAAGTGTACATTTTTTCCAACTGACTAAGTCGACACCCTGGGCACAAGTTGATCTTATTTCTTTTCTTTGCTGAGCTGTGGACACAGCTCATAATTCGTGTAAAAACATTTCTACGCCGCTGAGCAGCTCAGCTAATGTCATTAAGTTGCCATTAGTTGTTGTTGACTGATTTGATTTAATTTCATTTTTTGCACAAGAGCCAGAAATAAAAGGGCCAAGACACGTTCAGAAAAACACAGTTTGAAAAGGGACTCCATTGTATACTCTTTAAATCTCGTTTCCCCTCTCTTTCTCTATATTTATTCTCAATACTCTACTTTTTGTTTAATAGTAATCTGCAAACATTCGCATTTTCTCCTGATTGTTTTATATTTTAATATCCCCAGATGTGGATTATATATTATTAATTTTTATATATTTTACTTTTCAATTTACTATTCTTTTTAATTTTAAATTGATTCATTTTATTATGTATTTAAAAAATTATACTTTGAGTTTGCCAATCCAATTAAACTTAATATAATTTTTTTAATTATTTTAATTGTAAAACCAATTATTTGTAATTTAAAAAATTGTATTTTTATATAAAGCATTTTTTTTTAAATTTTAATCTGTTTGTTTACTTTATTAAGTCTACATTTAATATATAAATATAAAATGGGAAAACTGAAAATCCAATTTTGTAAATGCGATGTGTTATATCTCTGTAAGTAAAAATAATAAAAATAATATATATTGATATGAAAATTTAAAAATTAATAAAATAAAATACCAATTTTGAAAAGCTCTGGAAAAAATAACGAAACTTTTTGCTGACGTATTATTAATTTCTTATGGAGCGTTTTAATTTTTGTATAATTTCTTATAGAGCAACTGTTAGTTGTCTATGCTGAACAAAAACATTCACACATTATTTTGTTATTCGCTACTGCTCTTCAGGGAATTATTGTTGTTGATGTTGGGTCGATTTGGGTCTTTACTCATTTTTTTTGCTTCATTTTGCATGAGTCCTTGGCGTGAACCCGTCTTCCGTCTCATCTTTGCTGCCTGCGGGTTTTAATCGAATAATTCATTTAGGGCAAAAGCGAAATTGGTCAAAATATCAGAGAATTATGTGAAGAATTGTCTTCGATAAAAATCTGAAGGTTGCTTTGCGGCGGCTTTGGTGCACTTCTTGGAAATTTATATCAATAAAGAGAAGTTTGTTTTGATGCGAGTTCACTTAACTTGGCAGCCATATTAGGATTGCTCTTGCCAACTAATTAGCCGTTGAAAAGTTTGGCAAGTTCTTTTGGCTAACAGTTGTATTAACTGTTTTCTGTCTGTGATTTTTACAGCTTTACTTACAAATCGCTCTGGTATGCCAAAAGTTTTTATTGCGTGTGGCCCAACAAGTTGTCGCGGAGAAAACATAATCATAAACTTGTCTCAATTATTTTTCATGTGGCACGCCCCCGCCGCGTTGCATTGCGGCATTTAGCCAACTTTAGTCTCTGTGTTGAACGTTAATTAGTTTTGTTGGGTAAAGTGAAATTTTTGATTTTTTCCCGCGCGTGCAAAAAACTTTTTATGAACTTTTTGCGCCAAAAACTGTGTTTGCCAATCAAAGTGAATTGAACACACAGGACGCACAGGATGCAGGATCAGGATGCAGTATGCAGGATGCACTGCGTCTGATTGCAGCTGCATAAGTGCAAAAGTTTAATTAAACGATGGCGGCTACTTAGCCAGGGGGTGGGGAAATTCAGACATCGCCTCCAAATGGCGCTTATGATGAGCCCCCCTTGAATTGCCAGCGCTCATTTTCCATAACATTTTCCAGCTGCTTTTCGCAGAAAAAATGAAATCAACTCTAAAATGCAAATTGTTTTGTTAGCACCTAATTTTTTGACATTATCAACGGGTGGATAAGGGACAAGAACATCCAAGTTGGCAGCTGAAAATATTTCTCTATTTTTGCATAATTTAATTTGCCTGTTTTCTGTGCTCGCCGATGAGTTTGGTTAACTTGGCAACTCTGCCGCGGGCACTTTTGCTGTTAACACGCAAAGTGGAAAACTTTTGTATGAAAACTATAATATGGAAACTAAATATAAAGAAATAAAATGTTTGTCGGCATATTCTGATATGATAATTATCAAAGCGAAAGAATCGTTAAGGTTTGCCTCATTAAATAGGTTTCATAGAGTTTTCATAATTACTTAGAAAGGATTTGGTTTGTGCAGAAAGAGACATATATTAATATATCGGGCTAGAGCTATGTATGTAGCACATATTTACATAATTTGAACTAATATTTGTAGAACTTATAGTTGAACTTATATTTGTTTCGCCGACGGCATTTATAAAGTAACATTTAAAAATTGGTTCCTAAAGTGGTTGAACAGTTTGCAAACTGATATAAAATTGTTGTAATTTTTAAGGTTTCTTTATTGATCACAAACTGAAATTTGACAAGTATATCACACTATCTTATCAATCGATATTCAAATGAATATGACAACCCTTACAAATCTAAGATACTTTTCAATATTTAAATGCAGAGCATAATCGTGTTTTTTGTTGAGAGTCCTCATTTACTCCAATATTATTTAGCACTCTTGGCTTAAAGTTAATATTTTTTTGATTTACTAGCATTTCTTTATTAAACTAACATTTAACATATCCAAACAAAGTTAATAACTATTGTATTTGAAAGTTGTGGTTAAGCAAATGAAGAAGGAATAATTATTAGTAAAATTATACTACAGCAAGTAGGTCAGCTATCATTAGTAATCTGGTTGAAACCAGGAAAGGCTAATTGCAGAAATGGTTTTTGTACAGAACTACTTGGCCATATACTCCAATAGGCCGCACAAGTGAAATATAAAAAGCTTTGTTAACGTTGTGATTTGGACCAAAAGAAATATGCTTGTTAAACTTAAACTTGGGATCTAAATGAACACACAAATCATCAACACATTTAATACATTTAGCACAACTAAGAAATAATGATTTTTCTTGCAACCCGGTTTGAAACCTGTCAAGATCAGTTTGTAACTGTTGGACAAGAAAACTGGAAGTAGGCAAAAAAAAGCAATGTTTTCCATCTTTAAATTTGGATCTATACTTTTGGTGTTAATTGTTTTTCCAATGATTTTCCCAAAGTTGACTACCCATGTAAGTTTTTATTTACCAGTTTTTCCTAAAAAAAACTAATATTAGGTATCATTGTTATTATTAAATATATAATTCTAATTAATCACACATTGTTCTAAAAATTTTGTAACGCTATAAATTAAAAATTTGATTCATTTTAATTCCTTGTTATTTTTCCAAAAAATTTCCTTTCCTATCGATCACTGCAACAAATTAACCTAAATTAATTAAAGAAAAGAAATAACATGACTCTGAATGTTCTTAGAATTTGCAACAATCTTCGCAATTCCGTTGAACACGAACAATTCATATCTTGTTCATATCAAAAGACTTGCCACAAATTCATTGTGATTGAAAGCCGTCGGCAACTGACAAATTCAGATTTCCAGAAAGTTCCTTTGTTCCAGAAGATTCAAATGCATTGTACAACGACAAGTTGAAATATGCCTTCCGCAATACATTTATCGTATATATTTATATCTATATATACATCTGTACACATGTATATAAAGTGTATTACGTGTTCATCTATTGGACTCTTTGATTTATTTATTTCCGATATTATATTATATTTTATATATATTTATTATGTTCTTGGGAATTTATATTTTGTAGTCGGCTGTTTTTAAGTGTGCATTTGCTAAAGAATTGGTAGACGCAATAAATACAAATTCAAAATTTTAATTATTTTTTCAAGTTTCGGTTTTTATTTGATTTTCTTTTAGTTTTTTTTTTTTTTATTTGCTTGCAAAAAAATTGATACAATTTTTTTTTATATTAAATATAGCAATTAATTCTGTATAATCGTTTCGTCAGCGTTTACAAAATGCTTGTATTGCTTAAGTACTAAGTAAGAGGATGCTTACGATTTAATACATATTTCGATAATTATTATATTTAGCTGTAATTATACATCGAATATTGCTAAATTTTAAAACTCGTTTTGCTTACAAAATAATTGAATAATTTCGAGCTATTTGTTGTTGTTGCTGCTGCTGCTGCTGCTGCTGCTGCTGCTGCTGGTGCTGCTGTAGAAACAAAACCATTTTATCACAATCGCTTTTCGATGAGTACTAATTTCGAGGAGTGAATTTTGTTGTTTATTGTTGTTGTTGTTAAGAGTTGAGTTGTGGCATTAATCAGTTAATGCCGTTGAATGGTGGATGCTTGTTGTAGTTGTAGACCTATTGTTTATTGTGATTTACTCAGGAAGCGTTCTCATTGCGATGGTTTGCGCCACTTGCAACACTTGCGGCCCGCCCGCTGCAGACACTGGCTGGCCGAGGAGTCCATCAGCTGGCGAATTGTGTTCAGCATAACGGTTGCCATCTGCCACTGGCGGAGGCGCAACAACTGTTTCTCCTGCTCGCGAGCCTTGCGCAACAGTTTCGCCTGGTCCGGAATATAAAATGCGACGGCCATTGTTGATTATTATTATTTATCTACTTGTTGTTGCGATCGAGGAAAACTTGTTCTTTGTCTCAACAAATTGCACAATTGTTTGTAAATATAAAACGATGTCTTTCTTTGCCTTTGATGATGACTCAAGACTTTCTCCTTTTGCGATTTAGCGGGAAGCACACAATGAATAAATTGACCACACAAATGCTTTGTTGTTGCTTTTTACGCACACGTCAAAAATGTTTTGGGTTCGTTCACTTTGTTCTGCTACTCAGTTGATGCTGCTGTTGGCTTGCGTACACGTCCGTACGCTTCGTTGGCTCACTGCAAACTGGCTGGCGTGCGGGCAGAGTGCGCTCTTTTATCCACTCTCTCTCTCGTATTTTGTTCTTGCTGTTCTCTCTCCTGCTCGCAATAGGCCTTTTCTCGCTCCCGTTTTTTCGCTCGCGGCACAAATTTTTTGTTTTGATATTTTTGTTGACATCGCCTCATTCGTAAAAAAATTGGGTATTGTTGCCAGGGCGCGGCTGCGTCTGCGGTGTGGTTGTGGGCATACACGGGAATTGAGGGCGGGGCGGCCACCTTGCGCATGTTTGTGTGTGTGTGTATGTGTGCTGTCGTCACAGGCGTCTCTGCGCCTTTGTTGAGAAATACAGTTAGCATATTAATTGTATTAAATCGTCGGCATAACAAACGTCTGCAAGTCAGACAGAGAGACAGAATTCGGTGAGAGCAGATGGAGCGAAAAAATCCTACAAATGTATGAGTGTGTGCAGGTGCGTGTAATTAAAATATACACACACAAACACACACGCACTTACAAAGATCACATTTGTAGCGAGCTGTCAGCTTATATGTATGACGAGCCTTTCTTATATTTCTTTATCAGCACACACATTTTACAAGTGTTTTACAAGTGCTCTGTGCTCTCGCCGGCTTCCGACATCTACACGTATAAGCTAAATAGTATAAGTCATGACTGCCTGTTATAAATTGCTTTTTTGCCGCTATTCATTTTCAACAATGGGCTCGTTTCCATAGCTCATCTTTTTTGTTCGCGAAACGAACCGAAAAAAAAATTATTGCTCACATTTTGCCATTTATTATTCTGCGTTAATCTGTCAGTGATAAGAGAATATGATAGATTTTTATTTACGAATTATTATATTAATTTCGGATTTTGGGAAATAAATATATATGAATATTATAAATAAGTAAAACACATCTTAATCACAACCATTCAGAAAATACTATATGAATATTTTAGATTGTGACTAGCATTGTGAAAATTTACAATAAACTTGGCCTTGAATTATTTATAAAATATATATTCATTAAATGATGTTCCCACTAGCATTGTTTATAAAATTATAAGTATAAATAATAGACTTGGCATAGATTATAATATAGTAATATAAATGTAATATAATTATACATAATAAATAAATATATTTAAAAATTTCATAATGTCATTGTTTTCAATGCAGTTCATATTTGTATTCATCTAATTTTACTAAAAGTACAGGAATCGACTTATACCTACAAATTGTCCAACTAGCCTATTCAAATCTTAACTGACTCTGTCTGGGTTCTTGACTCCACCCACAATGTCGTCACTCCTCACTTGACCCACGCTACACACACAAGCACACGCACACACACACTCGCAGCGAAAGAAACCTTCTTCTTCTTCTTCATCATCCTCTTCTTCTTCTTGCTACTTTGCTGCCTTCGTCTCAAGTATATTTCGCTGTTACACAACTTTGTACAGTTAGGGGTTGCTTTGAGTCTATTGTGTTACAACAACTACTCCGCATACTGTTTCTGTTCTGCTCTAACATTTGTCTTCTCGTTCGCACAAGTGACGCGTTCGCTGCATAGTTCTTTTTTTCGTTCCTGGTTTTCCGGCAACATAAATTCAACAGAGGCGTGGCTTAATTCCCTAACATTTGTGCTACCCAGCAAGAAGCCGGCAACATTTTCCATTTCGCTTTGGCCAACGGCTGATGTTGGAGTTTTGTATGCTTCTTTCTGCCTTTATTTCTATTTTTGTTTTCTTTCTTTTTTTTTGGCTACTTTACTTTTTGTATTTTTGTGGGGCGGAGCTTTGTCCGAGACCTTTTTTGGGTGGAGTCTTTCATGGGTCATGGATTACTCTGACCAAATCGCTGCCTGCCGGCGAGCTAAATTCGTAACTCGAAATAAAAAAAAATAAAATCAAAAAATATAACTCGCTTATGCCGTCGGTAAATTACGCATTAACAGCCCATAATTGAGCCAATTAGTGAATTGCCTTTTCTTTAGATACAAACTCAGCGATAATCCTTGAGATACATAAGAGTTTAGAAGAGTTCCAATTTTGGAAATTGTTCAATGAGGCGTAAGAAAAGGTTTCGATTGAAATCGGTTGTTTTCTTAAAGGATTACATGATATTTCATTTCGATCCGTATGCGGGTAATTATTGCCATTTTTATTGAAATTTTTGTGAGAGCGAGGGAGAAATTCAATCTGGGGTTGTTGAGGAACCCATATGTATATATATGTATATTTATGTTTACCACTGTTGTCGCTATCAATTTGCATATTTAGTATCTAATTGCATGGAAATACAATTTGCTCAACTCTGCTCAAAATCATAAAGAATCAATTTAAGGTTTCATGGTTATGGAAAGTGAATATGTCAAATTAGCTTTTAATTGAGTTTTCAATCTGCATGTCAAATGACCCACATGATCGGAAGAAGAAGAAACTTGACGCGTGCTGCCCCAGTCGCCCTTCAAAAAGTGTGTCAATCAGATTGATTAAACATTTTGTTGTCAGCCCACTCATTCCAGTCATTCCAGTAGTTTCCACATTACTTTCCATGTAAGAACACCAGTTTCCAGCATAACTGTAAATGCCCCCCAACCTAAGATCGTGTTTTTTTTTCAAAAATATTTCACCAGCTTTGCTTTACTGACGTGTCATTGCCTTTGTTATTAAGCAAAACAAAATTAAACATTTACAGTTGCGAAAATAATAATAGCAACACTGACAAAACAAATCTGTTCGAAGGTGTCTTTTTGTTATATTTAAGTTTAAGATACGTTTTTAGAAATAGAAAAATAATTCATAAAAATTGAGAACGAAACAAAAACCAAATTTTATTAACAATATTCAAAATATTTTAATTTAATTAAAATTAAAAATTTATGAATTTCAAGCCGAAAAGCCGAAAATACACTAGAAAACAATAATAATAATTTTTCAAGTGTGCACTTATAATTATAAAAAATGGAAATAAATAAGCTATTTCTAAAATTATTGCGCAAGGTGTGCTTTTATTTTGATTTATGTTATTTATTTTAAATGAATTTATTACATTTCGCTACTTTTGGCACTTTGCACTACAAATATATATTAAAAAGAACTCCAGAAACAGTACTAACATAAATTTATAGGGGGAATACTAAACATTTTCGAAATCAACATTTAAAACGAATGCAAAAGTATTATTAGGAAAAATGTCGTAGTGGTGCTATTATTTTCTTCGCAACTGTATACAATTATATGTATATGTGCATATGTATATGTATATGTGTATAAGACGCAGTCGCTTGGGACTGCCTCAAAATCATAACACACTGCCGATATGTTAATGTGAGCTGCCATCAACTCAATGACTTGCGTAATGTTTGCTTTGCACGTCACTCTCACTTCTGGCTTCTCTTTATGCCATTTATTCGCTCAATAAGCAAATTTGCGATCTTTCCGCGCTTTGTCACCATCTTCTGCCACTCATTTAAGCTCTGCTTATCTCCCGCAAAGAATTCCCAGCGTGAATTTTTACTTTTCTTACTTTGATACCGAAGCCACGTATCTTCCACAATTTTAAGGCTACAGTCACCAAATTTGGTTGGTACGCCCCCAAACTTGGAAGGAAGATTACTAGGAACCTTCTCAAAAACTTTCCAAAATTTCATATCTCCCGTAATTCGAGATCTACAGTTCCCACCCTGTTCTTTGTTACTTGTTATCGTGTGGAATATCGTATGGTATCAAAGTATTTCGGAGTCGGTTACGCCCGATTTCAACGTTCTCACTTGTTCATTGCTTCAATATCACTTGTTGTTTTAACCATTATTATTACTGTTACTATTACTATTTTTATGAATTGATGTGGTTTGTGTGAGCCACTCTCTTTTTGATGAGCACACACTTTATTTAAAATGAATCATGTATAATTTTATTGAATTTTAGAGTCAGCATCTATTATGTATTTCTGTGAATAAAATTCAGATGCTCAGTTAAAATTCTACATCAAAACTTGTATTTTCTTAAATTAATATGTAATATGCATTGCATAATTTTCTAGTTCCTTTTATGGACTTATTTGTGCATTATTTTTTGTACATACAAAATAGATCCAACCGTGTATATTAATTTTTTCTGTGTATTATTATAAAAATTAGTAAAAAATGCAATTAAAACGTTTAAGGTACTTAAGGTGAATTCAAATATATTATATTATATATTTTAAGAAGTTTTGTTTTTTTTTAAGACTTACTGAGTCTTAAGTCTGCTTTAATTCAAATACGTAAGAAACACATAATAGGTATGACAAGTCACTTGTCAAGGATATTCTTTTGAAAGCAACAAGCAATAGACCTATTCTCCATTGTTTCTAGCGTTTTCCTTCCGTACAAAAATCAACAGTACAAAAAGCAGCGGCAGATTAATTGAAACTGCACGCAGATTAACAGGTAAAGAACATAACACTCTAAAATGCACATAGATCGACTGACTAATTTCATTGTTTACGTTTAGGCGGAGTGCTTTGTCAAATTCCAGCTGGGCGATTTACCTACCGATCGCTGAGTCTCTCTTCGTTCCACTTCGTATAATTTGTATTAATTTTTTATGATCTCTTTTGTGGTCGACTTCGCATTTTGCTCTGCCTGATATTTGTGGGTAATATAAATATGTCACGAGTTGTGTAACGCATCTTCATTAAATTATATTAATTTTTTTACTAAATGTTTATATAAATGATATGATATATTTTTATGAATTATTTTTATATATTATATAATTTTAGACATATATATTCTTGATCATCAATACGATCCCCTGAACTAGATATATTTCTGAACGTAACTATGATTTATGTCAAAATATTTGCCCGTCTTTGTTTCTTGGAACTTTTCTCTCGTCTATGAAACTATCTCCGGTTGGATCTTATTACACAAATATTAATCAGCATCTGCTTATTATACATAATATGTATCTTATAAATGTTATAAATTAAAACGAATTTGTTATTTTCAAAACTATGTT